ATATTGGTCTGTGTGGGTGGGCTTACGATACACGCCAGTTTCCAACCGTCCTCCATCCGAAACCGAGACATCGCAATCTGTAGTTTTAGTGTTTGTCGATTTATTTTAAGCTGTATGGACTGATTAAACAAACTTTTTTTCCTTCAAATCAAGCAGTTTCACATTATCTGCAGGCAGCTTACGGCACCTCATGATCCGTAACGTCATTTATTTACAGTCTGCTGCTGCTCAGCACTCGCCTGCAAAAGTTGGGAGAAAGTCCAATTTGGGATTTCTTTATGACTGCGAGAAAAATAAAATAAAAGCACGTGTTTTATTGTGGAAACAGGTGATAAAAATCTTGAAGTCTGTATGAAATTGGAGGTAGTTTGAAGATTCAAGTTTTTATGCTTTTTAAGATCAAAAAAGGGGGGCGTCGTATTATATATGAGATCGTGTTATACATGAATAAATACGGTAATTAAAACAAATCCACTGTTCAAACTAAATACAACTAACTAAATTAAAAGAAAAAAGTCACAACAAAATAAAACTAAACTATAATGAAAAATCAAAACTATTATAACCTTAATTCTAAGTTCAAGAATCAAGTGAAAGATCATTATGAAAAGGATCTTTCTGACTGTGAAGTCCTGAAACAAACTTTAGATAATCTGAGTTTTGTTTTGTTTGTTTTTTGTCGTGTTTCAGATGGGCCCCTGGGACCCCGTGGCCTGGTGGAAGCTACAGAGATGTGCACACAGGAGTGCCTGGTCCTGGGACACTCGGACAACTGTTGGATGCCTCCCACKTTAGGAACGTACCAGCAGCCCAAGTCGCCCGTGTCCAGCTTTGGGTCTCAGCGGGAGTGGGGTCCAAAGGACAAACTCCTCAATGGACACACTCTGTCCAGAACCTGGAAGAACGAGAGCGGACGTTCGGAGCATTTTGGCGACAGGAAGCAGTTTGGGAGCGGAGAGGGACACTTCGGCGGCAGTGGCATCGCCGACATTCCTCTGGTGAGCCTGAAGTCCTGCCAGTCGGCCTCCTGCCCAGACAGCCCCAAGGACCAGCAGCTATAAGGTCCACCTGTGTGCAGTTAGGACCCCTTCTATCCAAACAGGTGGTGCATTTCACCTCAGCTCCTGATCCATTGCTTTATTTCTCGTCTCATCTCTTTTCCTCCTTATTTGATGCTTCTGCAGCGGGGTAGCCACATGCACTGTGTGGGCCAGAAAAAAGTGCTGACGCTTTTTCTTCTCCACTAAGACTTCTTACTGTTGCTCTACAGGAACACCTCTGTGTGATTTTTTTTTTCAATGTTAAATAACATTTCCTGTCCGCTTCATGTGTGAATTGGACACGTGGAGAAAGGACTTGCATAAAAAAGAAAAAAAAATTGACCAATATATTCAAATATATGTGGTGTGATTGTTATTGAGTTGTCCGGGACTATATTAATCAACACGAAGAAAATTTAATTCCATTTCAGAAAGTGTTGTTCTGATAACACTGTTTGTAGACACTTGTTTATTCCGTCATTGTCTCTGTGTTTGTAAATAAGACGTATTAATCACAATCACGTACGTGTAAAATCCACAGTGAGTAGAACAGTTCGTCGGTGGCTTGTTGTTGGGATTTCAGCTGGGAAAACATTTCTGACGCGGCGTGTCGTACAAGAAAGCATTTACCCAAATATCCAAAAGTTTTAGACTCATTTTGAAAACCAAACTCCGCCCATATTTTACTACTTGTTGCCCTGCTTTCATTATCGTTTAATTCAAGTACGCCAAAATCACAAAAGCARACATTTCTTTTTTGTTAAAAAAAAGAAAACAAAACAAAAAAAAGCTGTATCAAGGATGTCAGTGCTCAAAAGGTGCATTATAAAAACGACAGCTCCGAGGCTCTCCTCTATAAACTGATTTTGGACGTGTTTAGTACAATAAATAGCAATATATTTGTAAATGGCTAAATGTTTTATCTAAGGTTATTACTGTATAGATTTTATTCAAATTGTGATTTAACTGAGTGCAATTTCTCAGTAGTACTTGCAATTTCTTGGTATATGTATATAAATATACATATATACTGTATATGTAAYGTTTCCACAGACTATTATTTTCCATACATCAGAAAACCACGAGTTAAGACAACACTTTAATCACTGTGCCTTCATGATCTTAATTCAAAAACACTCATTTAAATGACGTGTTTCCAAATAAAATCCTGTCTAACGATCGAATGCCTTATGCATTGAGTGTCTGCCAGGGTTTCAGACAAAAAAAAGGTTGTGGATTGTGAGGACAAAAGGCCTGTACAGACTGTCGGTCAGCCGTGAATCATCGTCATTACACTGTCCAAGTAGATCGGTTTCAAAGCATGGGAGGAAAACACACACTGGAACAGCATGCTCAAAGTTCAAGCTATACAATGAACTTTATCATTTTTGTCCTATTTTTTAGTTTGTTTTTTATTTTCCAGATGGAACGGCGGGAGGAGTTAGAGTTAAGTTGTTCATAAGAACTGGATTGGGTTTGTAAAGCACTTTCATGTTTCTGTCACAATATAAAAAAAAAACCTGTTTAGTGGGATGGAGTGAAATGCTTATCGCAGTTTGTTTGTTAGTCGTGAGGGTGTTTGACATCACATAATGAAACAGTTAATCCTTGTTACTACTCTACAGGTATAAAGCTACTGCAATAAATGTTTTAAATATGTGTATGTCTAATTTCTGCAAATATGATGCTTACGCCTGGGAAAAATCCAGCACGGAGTCCTAAAATAGGTTTATTTTGAGAAGCCTCGCTTTCATGAGGCGCAGGCTTTAGTCTAATTAGAGTAAATTTCCCTCTCGTAAATTAGACGCTCCGTTCACGCTGCCTCTCTTTGCTCCGTGTAAGACACGCTTTAAAAATAAATAAATTGCGGAAGCTAAGTGGACTAAATGCAAACAGATGTGTCAAAGCAGGCGCAGCACGTTCCCACCCAATGATGAATCGTTCTTCTGGCCTGTTTAGCAACTCGTGTCCTTCCAGGAAAACAATGCCTCTTCTAAACATTACTGCCAGGGTCACTGTGGCAAACACAGAAGCTCTCACTGCAACAACAAATCCTGAGGGGGACGACTCTGGGAAGSTGACATTTCTGAAAGGAAGCTTGTGTTTAACCCTTCATGGCAAACGCACCGTACATCGTTAGCTTATACTCAAATTATATTTAGTGTGGCYGCTTATTTAGGACCCTCGCACACAAAGCGGGGTTAATCTTTTAAGATCTGAACAAAACTCACAAACAGCTCTTTTAAAATTATTATAAACTTCTATAAAACCAAAACGATGCTGAGCAGAAATTATTAAAATATCCTGCAGGATCTAAGTTTCACATTTTAAATGAATTTCACAATGCTTTTAAAGATGGCCCTTTATAAGTCTAAAGTCCTGCTCCAGGTCTAAAGTCCTGCCCCAGGTCTAAAGTCCTGCCCCAGGTCTAAAGTCCTGCCCCAGGTCTAAAGTCCTGCCCCAGGTCTAAAGTCCTGCCCCAGGTCTAAAGTCCTGCCCCAAGACAAAAGTCCTGCCCCAGGTCTAAAGTCCT